GTATGTGACATATGGCTGTGTCCATTTACTCCACAGGAATCATACAAAGCAGGCAGAAGTTAAAGAAGTTTGGGAGCTGCTGAGCTGGGAACTCGACCACCATTTTCCACCCTCATTGCCGATGAAGGGCAATGGTTTAAAGCCCGATTTGCCTTCACATGTGGCCCATGGCCAAGTACAGCCAAACTGGCCTGGAGAATGTAGGCCAGTGGCAGGAGCCATTCCCTGAAGACCCGAAAGAACAGTTGCCCGTGCATCTTCCCTCATTTCTTTTGGTTCCCCATACATAGCTAACAGCTTGCAAGCTGGCAGCAACCCAGAAAGCAGAGGGGAAGACACACATATTCACCCTCACACATACTTACTTTTGCAAACCATAATGTTGCAATTCCTTAATTCTCATCTCTCCAAACCCAATTCACCAACAAAGCTCTTGTCCTATTATTTTGTCCTATTAAGAGAACTCCAATTTCTGCTAAATCTCAAGTTTTCTGGCAGTATAAAACAGGTTGTGGCTGCAGACTCTGCACATGGCACACACTTGTGCCATTGGTCTGTGGCTTTCAGGGAGCAACTGTTGAGCATCACAAAAACACAAAGAAAGAAAGGAAAGAAATCAAATATTTACAGGAGAAAAAGTGATCCTACCCCACATGGTACAAATTTAGGGGTGCATTGTAGCTACATTATGTGCGTATAGCTACTGAAACAGTTTCCAACAGAATGTTTACACTGTTGTCTGGAAGCATATTGTTTGTCTACTTTTCAAAGCCAATTTATATGCAGCACACATCACAGCATGCATGAAAATTTAGACAAAAACACAGATGCATGCAACAATCCCTAGTCAGTTCTTGTTGGTCCTTATTGTTTGTTGCTCAGAAGTACCAGGGAAAGAGGAAGAAGGTATCAACCCATTATGCTAGGTGCTGTACTACCCCAAACTTAAAGACAGGTATTTTGCCTGAGGAACATACTATCTCTGTTTAAGACAAGATATAACAAGTGATTGTAACAGGGGGTGAGGGAGTAACATACGGGAATGAATAATAAGACAGTTTATATGTGCCAGCTTTATGCACTGATGTGCCAGCTAATTGAATACTCGATGCATATAAATACCAATCTCCTACTGAAGGCAAAAAGTTAACTGTATCCAGTTAGCAATTTATCAGGATATTCACAGATAAATTAGTGAGAAATTTGGAGGAGTCCAGGGAGGGACATCCCAGAGAAAAGTGGAATAAATAGAAGAGCATGTAACAAGGGAACAGAGAGATAAAGGAGGTTGGCATTGCCTAGGCAGCAAAGCAAGGAGGCTTAGGTTGCTGAGAGGGAAGGATGCGAAAGTCATGGATCAAAGAATTGAGAGCTTGTACCTAACTTGTTAAAAAAACAGTGAGACCAAGGAGGACTGCAAAATGCAAAAGAGGATGAATATGTCACTGCACTTTGAATAGAACGGGGAGAACAAGGTCAGCGGATGTTAGGAAAGTCTGGGTGAAAAGGGTCAGAGAGAAACTTATGTCAGTGTAGGCAAACACCTTCTCAAGAAATGGTGTAGAGCCACCAAACCAGTAAGAGTCCTTACTGGGAAGCATGGGGATGAGGTCTTCTCCACATCCAAGGAGGAAGAAGAGGAGGAAACACCCCCCAAATAAAGCAGAGGTAGCACCAGCGACAGGAGAGGATGCAACAGGGATATCTAATGAAGTCTACCCAAGGCTGTGTGCCATGGCCAGCTCAAGAACGAGCTTTAGTTTTAATAGCCAGCTCTACTGAACCACCTTCAACAAAGGCCTCAAAGGACAGGTCTAAGGGAAGAAGTGAAAAGATGTATTACTCCCTCTTCTTGAAGTGCTCCTTTGCAGAAGATCCCTCTCTCCCCACATGCCATCAGTGCATGGATCAGAGCCGAGTTTCCCACCTTAGGTGACCTGAGTTAGGTAGTGTGAAAACCACTCATCAGCGAAATTGCATCTAAGCCCCTGTACTGCAGTTCCCTATGTCACCACGCAGACAGATGTCCTCTCCTCCAGGCTCTGTGGCAGGCACTATTTATGTTCAATATTGTTTATAGACCCCAAAACCTCCATGGGGGATGCCAAATCAATAGTCCAAGAGTTGAAATAAAGTCATTTTTTGCCTTTATTTTTTCTGTTTTTTAAAAGGACAATGGTCATTCTACAACTCTGTAAAACCTCTTATAACATTAACATAAGCACTGCCAGCTGCCAGTGCCCCAGGGGCACTCATGTGCCTCGCTGCCCCAGGTGCCCACCTGCTGGGGCTCCCCCCACCCCTGCCCAGGACCCCATGTCAGCCCTCAGGGCCATCAGCCCCTAACCAGTGATGGCACAGCAGGGCCAGTCTCCAGCTCCCTGCAGCCCTGCCCTGCCCAGCCATGAGCCCCATGGAACCTGGCCCACCGATGGGCCCAATGTCACAGCCCAGCCTCAGCCTGTTGCCTGCGGAGGTGCCCAACACCTGGGGCTGAGGCTGCCCTGGTGCCCCAGGGCTGCCCTGATCCTGGCCAGGGCATTGGGATCGGCCCTGGCTGCCAGGCCTGCCCTGACACACCCACTGGGAGTCCCAGCTGCACCCTGGGACCTGCTGCCTGAGAAATATTAGCACAGGACAAAAATCAAAGGACAAGCTCAGCCTTGTTAGCACCAAAACATCCTGACCCAGCCCCTCTACACAACATATTTTAAGGTTTTGAAAGTTCAGGGATGTTTCTGCTTTCATTCTGGTGCTGAGCTACTGACGTCCAACCCAGTTGTGGTTTATCTTCTCTGCGGTGACACTGAGTGGTAACCTGAAGAGATGGCTACTGTCACAATCTTCCCACCTCAGTGACATCCATCCAGAACCCGGTGCCAAGTCATACAGGGTCTGGATCACACTGTAAATGAACATGGTGGGCAGCCACAGCATCCCCACCTCAAGTGGAAGCCTCCATTCCAGGCTGACCGATGTTTCCAAAGGGGAGAAAACTGTTCCCGAGCATTACAGAATCATAAAATCACAGAATGGTTTGAGCTGGAAAGGATCTGAAAGATCTTCTAGTTCCAACCCCCTTGCCATAGCAGGACACCTTCCACTAGACCAGGTTGCTCAGAGCCCCATCTGACCTGGCCCTGAACATTTCCACAGATAGGGCATCTACAACTTACCTGGGCAACCTGTTCCAGTGTCTCACTACCCTCACAATGAAGAATTTCTTCCTAATATCTAATCTAAATCTACCTTTCTTCGGCTTAAAGGCATTGAAACATTAAAGACATTGAAGGAAGGATTTGAGTACCACTGTCAATTCACCAGAATAAGTCACTTACATGCTAACATCAGCTCCCTCCCTAAGCAGTGATGAGCTGAGGAGCCTCAAGGCCCACACTGATGGCATTTCTTGATAATAAGTGGAGAGTTCCTCACCTTCCATGACACACAGAGACAAAGACGGAAAAAATATTTTTTTTGCAGTATTTTCTTTTCCTTTCTCAGCCAAATCCTTATTTGTGCTGTTACAGATTATTCACACAGCAGTCCTGCCTGTACTGCCTGATCTGATTAGTGCACCAACACCTCCATGGCTTTCAAATTCATTTCACAGGTTTACAAGAAACAGATACTGATACCTGGTAAGTGGCAGCACCTGGATTCAAAACATATCATCAGTTCATCTGATATCTTCAATATCTTGAGTAACATCTCAGCTTGGCAGAGAAGTGTTACCCTAACCACCATATTTCTGTGCAGGGAAATAAAGACCCACTTTTGTACTTGTTGGCATACAGATTCACATCTTTGTGTTGTTCCTACCTAGGCATACAGAGTCCAAGTTGAGTGCAGTGATTCTATTTCAAACATTTGGTGCCCTGGCTTACTGTTGCATCACAGAAATTACCAAGCACTTTGTCGCAAGCAGCTTTAAATGCCTCTATAGAACAACTGAGATTCTTTGAAATATTTTTTTTATTAAAACAAAAACAATCAGTTGTATATGTGTTGATTTTGATTATCAGAGGGCACAGACACAGTTGCATATGTAAAAGCACAAAATGAACCACATGAACTGCTTTCTTAGTCAGAGCTCTGAATTTCTGAAATTATGAAAATAAGACATTGTTACAATGCACATACTCAGAAACTATCACACAATACCCATTAAAAAAAACAAAACAAAACCACATCATAATATTCAACTAGTTTGACCAGACTCCTGTTTTCCACAAGATCTCTTACTTTGCTATAAGATAGAATTACCCAGAGAACAAATTGGACCCTAGACTAACAAGGCTCTCAGGAATCTAATTACAGAATGGCAAAAATGTTGAAAAGAGGCACATCTAATAACATGTCTGTTATGGCAATGCATTATATATACCAAGAGCTGCTTGTGGCCAATAAAGTCAATGGAAAGATTTGCATCAACTTATAAGAGCATAAAGGAAAGGAAAACAACGTCTCTTGCTTTGTACTGCCAGGAAAATGGAGTACATGACTGAATTGTAGTAAGACATTCATAAGACCAAGTTTAGACACAAGAAATTATTAGATGAAGCAGAGTGGGACAGAAGGGGCCTTGTTTCACTCTGATGAAGATAAGTGGAAATTCATTCTCAGTTTCTGAGTGCCTTGCCTGTGTTACTCTGACAAATGCAGACCAGTGGGTAACTAGCTTCTTGGTCAATAGACAGGCTGTGCCCAGCTATTTCTGCAAACAAGATGCACTAAATCTATACACAAAAGCAACCCTCAGAGGCAGGACAATTGTTAAGCACTGAGCATCAATAAACACCAATCAAAACCTAAAGAACCCAGTAGTGCCAAACACTGCTGCCAGCAATACTAGCAACAAATAGAGCAGGCAATCCCTTTAAAGAGTATAAGTAACTATATGACACCCAAAGACACAGTACATCAGACTAGATGAACTCTAAACTGGCAATAGCACTGTTTAAAGGCATAATGGGTCTCTCATTTTAGCTGCTGCCAGTTTTATCACATGCATATATCACTAGGGTACTAAGGCTGAAAGGTCACATCATAGCTTACAAGGTAACCATCGTTGTAAACATGCAGTCTCTGATCTGTGGGGTTATAATCAATACTCTGGATTGTATCTAACTTTTTATCCATAATGACACTAATTCTATCTTCTTGGCCAGTACTCGTGTCATACATGTAGAAGATCTCCTCTTTCTTAGTGTTCAATGGCCTTGTGGCATAAAGAACACCACATAACATGAAAGCATTGGAAACAGATGGCTTGTACTGTCTTGTCTGCCAAGTATTTAGCACATCAAGTGTGGTCTCATTGAGTTTGCTAATCACAATGTTGCCTACATTATTTTCTGTTGAATATATTACCCATAACCCACTTTCATCCACGGCAAAATCTATGTCTTGCCATGCTACACCTGCATAGGAGAAACGGTTACCAATAGCAGCACCTGGAAGCTCTTTCCTCAAAACCTGTGTGTTTCTTTTTATATCATGCTTCACCATATATCTTGAATTATAAGCATGATAGTACAAATAGTTATTATAAAGAGCAGCACCACTTCCTTCCCCATAGGTTATTCTACTTTCATACGTGGGTTTAAACAGCAGCAAATTATCAAAGGAATTATAAATTCTGTAGTATTCCAAGTATCTCCCATCTGTGTTCAATGGTGCAACCCAATAGACTTCGTTCTCTGGATTAGAGGGAGAGTAATCTCTACCCCAGGAGCCATATTTGTAGGAAAATCCTCTCCAGTTCAGCTTTACCACATAGGGCTGGCTGACATTCAGCAGTCCACGGTGAATGCAGGTACCTGCAATTAAAGAGAAAAAAAAAAAGCAAACAGATTTTCCAAATGTCATTACCAGGAGAGAGGTTTTGCAGACCACAGCCTCTAGACTGGGCTTACTAGAGATTAGCTTTGTGGCAAAACACAGACATAAATGAATAGCTTCATGTGTAAAAGGTTCCTTTTGGGCTAAGGTCAGCAGCTGAATGGCACTCAGTGTTCCAAGTTGAGTCAAAAAATTTAACAATAGAAAACAGAGTACATATTACAGTTATTTGAAGAATAAGAAAATAAGTGCTCACTGTGCTGTTCCATACAAGGGACAGATTTCTATTTCTACCCATTTGATGTTGGTCAGCCTGATACACTAGGAGATCCCTTGGAAAATACAACTTCAGAAGCATTTTAGGTTATTTTCTACCTCAGTGGAACCAAAAGCTTGGGCAATGGGGAAAAAAGAGGAAGGAAGGAGCAGCAGCAGCAGTAATTCCAGAGTCACATTTCAGATTAGCATTCTGCTGTCAGAATCACAGCTTTACAACAGTGCGTCACAGCCACATGGTGCTTTCTACCTCAGGCCCTCAAAGAAATCTGCAGACCAGAAATCACAGTCCAGGAAATGTAGACTGATATTACTCTGAGTTTTCATGTGAGGTGACTTGGAAAAGAATACGACTTCAAGCTGAACCAGAACAGCTTTGTTTTACACATATCAACAGCAAAACCATTTTCAGGATCATGGAAAATTTAATTTAAATACAAGAAATAGTTTCCTTTTACTTATGGTGAATTAGTGACTTTCCTGTTTCCTGACAAATTCTCAGTATTATAAGTCACTGATGGTAAAAATCCTGCACTCAGAAGTGTTCATGGGCTGCTGATGAGTCTGAAGCTGCCACTGGCAAAAACTAGCATGCGCTTTTCCAAATGTTAATATCAGCTTTTTTTACTACTGCCACAAAAGTGTCCCAGATTTTTCTTTGTAAGAGTGTGTTCCCCTGAGGTAATGGAGACAGAGATGTCAAGTGATTGGTACCAGCTCACAAGCTTAGTGGTATTTCAATGTTTCCCAGTTCATTAGGGTGCGCTAGACATCAGACAGTCTTTCTTATTAAAGATGGAGTATAACATGAATAGACCCAAGTCTCCCACATCCATTAATGAATAAATTAATGACCACAATTGTTTGATGTTAATAATAACTCCCTCAACACAGGAAATCCATGCACTGCCAGCTATGGCGTCAATGATGAAAGTCAAGATTATCTTTTGCGGCTTTAATACTTTACATGGGAACCATGCATTTTCTTACAGCTTCTATGAAAAGAATGGCTCATAAGCTCAGTCATATGGAGTGATGTCTGGCATATAAATAATTTCTGTCTCATCACAAAGAAGAAAGAGAAATAACAGAGAAAGAATTTACCTTTTGTCCTCAAAGCTGACCATCTCTAAGCAAGGCCAGACAATACTTATGAAGAAGAACTGGAATTTCCTAAAGCCATTGATAGAAAAAACCTAGGAGACATTTTGTTCTCAAAGACATCACAGTCCATTCCACAGACAGAAGGAAACATAGAGACAGACCAATATGAAGCACTGTACTTGGAAAAACACTGATAAACAAGATATTTGGTGAAAAAAAATGGACTGTTGCAAATGCAGAGAAACCTCTTTCTGATCTGTTTTGCCCAGGAGAAAGGTGCTGTGCCTCTGGGACAAGAAAACCTGTATTCTGAGTGTTAGTAATGTCCAAGCAAGTGGGTAACATTTGTGCCAATGTGTAAAGTCAATTTGGGCAGTGAAGCTCTTCATGTCTTCTTTTTCAATCAAAATGCAGTATTTCTTTGCTTCCCCTACTTTACACCTTCATTCTTCATAGTTTTGTGCAGTCTTGTGCTAAGGACTGTGACCTGAGGGACAGGCAACTCACCTGCAGCCTCCTCTCAACATCTGAGGAAGATGAGGAGCAGTTTTATATTAATCACTATGCTGAGCTAAATCCCTGTGTCCCCAGGCCATGTTGGCAACTTCCTTGGAGTCAGTATCGCCCATGAGAGCGGCTCTTCATCACTGAGTGTCCAGCTGATGGCAGAGAGGGTGATATGAATTGTAAACAATCCCATCTCCTCCCCCAGACCCTTTTGTGTCCTGAGATTCTTGCAGCTGAAACATGGCATGACCCCGGTTGAATACTGCTTCTCTTTGTACCACCAAGAATCGACACAAATCAGCATTCCTGGCTCAGAGCAGATGAGCATTTAAGCATTCACTTAAGTGCTTTACAAAGGATGAGGCCCTGTAGCAGAAATCTCATTTCCAAATATAGCACACAAGGCAGGCACTGCTGTATGGCTGTCCAGGCTGTATCTCTGGAAATGGCAGTAGCATGTCTGGTAATGTGCCCTCAGCACTTGGCACAGATACCAGCATTTGGAGGTGCTTATACCTCAGCTCATGCAAAGGAAGAAAGCTAAGGCAGCAAAATGGTTTGCAGTCTGCCGACTTCATAAATCATTTGAAACTGTTTTTTTCTTATATCTCTATTATGTATAACTCTGTGATGAGGACTTCTTTAAAGCTGGTGACCTATTGAATATATTACTGTGCTTAAATCACAATAAACTTATCTCAGAATTAAATGGTTATTAAGTGCTCTAAAACTCTTCATTTGTTTAGAAAACTATAGCACTGAAGCTTGCAGGTAGTGGAGCACTGCTAAGCTCATCTATATGCGACCTCAAACAATTTTTCATGCCATTAAGCAGAACACAATTCCAGATTTATTTTAATAATTCATACATTGTTTCATAAATAAAAAACAAACGTGTGTTCAGCAGAGAGACCTTTTTTTACAAAAGAAATAATAAATTATTATTTCTCCCCTTAAAGAGATCTCTCTGCTGAACACTTGTTTGGTTTTTATTTATGAAATAATGAATTATTAAAATAAAGTTAGAAGCGTGTTCCGTTTTAATGACATCAAAAATTTTCTGCAGTTTCTATAGAGAATGTGCTTGATTTTGATTCCTGAAAAAAATTCTCACATAATTTATTTTTTTTTAAAAAAACTGTGATAGTAAGGGGTGATTCGTCTTTTACACAGGTTCAGAAGAATTCATTGTTGTTTATTTAATCTAAACTTGCCTCTGTGTCTGGATCTTGTGGGGAAAAAATGCACAAATGAAACAAAGTGTCATGTAATTTTGTAAATATTAGAAGGTACTTGAAATAAATCCATATGCATTATTCAAACTTTCAGATTTTTAACTCCTTTCTCCACCATTTTGGGCCACTGATAAATGATGCCCTGGTATTTTTGCCTTCCTCTGTTTCATGCTAATGTAGCGAATAGACAAGGGAAGGACTAACATAAGTACATACACGTATACTTCTCCTCCCTACACAAAGAACCAGTATCTCAGCTCAGTTGTCTCCTAATCCTTCTGATTTATCAGAAAAGGAGCTGACACATAATTGTCAGGACTGGAGTGAGTCTGAATTGCTTGGCTAACAGGCTGCAGAACTGAACGTAAGACACATCCCGTTGGGTCTCATTTTACCCACTTCACTCTGAAGCACTGGCAGAGCACTTCAGCTTCTCGCTCCAACACTACAGGAAAACATTCCAGCAGCCTCCTCCCACCAAGCAGCTGCATCTGATCGCAGAAGAGAAGGGACCACAGTTGGCCTATCAAGCCAAAGATCACGAAACAAGGTGGGACTCACATTTAAAGGAAGTCCCACGAGGGGCACAGAGACCAGAAGCAGGAGGGTTCTATATTCTCACACATGCTCCCAAGCACCAGATGCGCACCCTCCTGTCCCATCAGATGAACCACTGCATCCAGATATGTGAGCTGTTACCAGCCTTACTAGGACTTGAGATACAGAAGACAGAGCTCTAAGGGAAAGGTTCATCCTGTCTCCTACTGTCTCACTGACATAGGAAGACAAACAAAGACACTCCAGTCTTTCACCAGTATCACGGGGCACGGATACAGGCTGACAGCTGTCAAAGAAGACCTGTGTTGGCAACATGTAACAGCAGATGAGGTGGAGGGAGGGCTGGAGTTCATCTGACCTGCCTTAAAGCAACTATAAGTTCTGCTCCCTTAGTTCAGCTCCCTTCACTGCCAGTGGGGAAATGCATGTGTCTCCAGGGGCAGTTCAGGAAGTCCTGGAGAGAAAGACTGGCCAGCTCTTTTCTGGTGCTTCTAGGTGCCACGGTCCGAGGGCAGATGGGGCCGTGACACAGCACGGATGGATCCGGAGACGAGGTAGGTGTGCAGATGGAATCTTTTATTGAGGCGTGCACGGGATTTTTTATCAGTTCAGGCGGGGAAAGTGCTAGAACATGGGGTGGAGCATGAAACAGACAAACAAGGGAACAAACTGGGATAGGGACACAGGCAAAAGGGGGAGGAACGTGGGAGGAACTGGGGAAGGAAAGGGCGAATGGAGGCTGTCTCCTCTCTGCAGCTTCTCCGGCCAATCAGAGAGGGGAGCAAGGAAGCAGGGAGCAGGAAAGCAGGCATGCCTGGGCACGCCCGGGAAATATAAATATAGGGGCAACATACAATGTGTATATTTATAAACACATAAAAACTGTAAAGTCCGTATAATAAAGTCCTGTCAATTGCTGTATATCTTCCTCCATGCCTGGAACTGTTCCCATCCTGAATCTTGCTCCTTCACATCTAGGCATGTCTCTCTCTTTGTGGATGGATGTATTTAGTTCAAAACACAACCCAAGTTACTCAAAAAACACAGAAAACTTGGGTCATAGGTAAATTGAAATCACTGTAAGACTCCAACAGAATTGCGTGAGTTTCAGCATTAGGCTACTTCAGGTTTTCCTCCTGCTGAGACGTATTCACCAGTAGCTTGAAATCCTTAATTTCTGAGTGTATAAAAGCCAGAAAAAACCCCAACGTTGCTCTTTTTATTTTATTTCTATTTTGCCTTTGAGTTTCACCTGCCTCACTTCTCTCCTCTCCCTCTCTCAGATTATTTCGGTGAGATGTGACATAAAATCTTCTGCAGTACTCAAAGAAGGGGCCCCCTGGTGGTCTAGTGGTTAGGATGCAGCGCTCTCACCGCTGCAGACTGGGTTCGATTCCCGGTCAAGGGAACCCCTCCAGGCAGATGGAGCTTGTCAGCCCTCTAAGGCCATCCATCTAAGAGAAGGTCATTCTAAACAAACCTACGTCCTGAGGACCTCGCTGCCACTGTCCAAGCTTGCTCAGCCCCAGCAGATGAACCTCAGGATTAAAGGGTGGGCTCAGTTCAGCACACACTGTGTCTCACCTAAAAAATCCACTGCGCAGGCTCGAAGCGTAAAGACCTTTCCCAAATCTTCGCTCGCGAAGACTGGCCTTACAAAAAACTCAAAGAACCATCCTGAGGTCTCTCCTCTCTATACCTACCCAATGCAGCCACATGAGATCGGCACAAAAGAAAACAAATGGATAAATATTTCTTCCCACTGGAGTGGTGAGGAGCGAGATGCCAGGAACCATTGCAGATAGGAAAGCCAGTGATGATGAGGGGGATGATTAACTATACTCAACACTCAACACCCACCTCTCCAGTCAGACGGCAGGGCAAATGGAAACAAGTGATTTGTTTCTGTTATGTTGCTTGAGAACAGGCCTGCTCACTCTGAGAAATACAGCAGCAAAAGCCTTGAGGGACAGAGTCAGAGGGGCTGCGTACTACAGCAATGCAAAGCAAGAAGCTTTAATTAAACTTGCCTTTAGACTCATAATCTTAGACATCTTAGGGATTAGCCAAGGTCTCTCTAGTTCACATTGCCTACCCAGGACATGCAGGAGAGAGGATGAAGGGGGAAAGAAAAAGCAATCTGAAAACAGGACAAAGAGTCAGTTTAATACAAACTTTATAAATATAATATGAACTAAAAGCAGGGCAAGGCCAAGTGGTTTGGCAGAAATTCAAGGCATTCAAGCTTGCCGAGAAAACATATGGAAATTGTGTTCAAACACATAAATGAGTGCTAGAGAGCTTCAGAGGTTTAGGTGTGAGCATCCATGCCAAGACTTCAAAATGACCAACTAGAAAATGCAGCCCTCGTAGATACTTACTTCATCGTGCTAAGCAATCACATCTTACTACTTCTGTGTGTTTTCAGATACAGTCTGCAGGACATGTAGTTGCTCTACAAAGTTCTCTGCACAGATGAGAGTTGCTCCCCATCAGTCACACAAAGTCTATGCATATGCTATATACTAGTCCTGCATGGATTAGCAAGGATCTGAGCCTACATAACACCTGGGTTATCTGTAGAGCTGGTATCTCCCATCACAAAGAAAACTTGCCAGCCTGCAGCAATTTCTCTGCCAGTCCTTTGTGCCAGCCACAGAGATTACCCTAAAGGTCGCCCTCATCCTTAAGGAGGCCGTGACAATACGCTCACACACACAGGAACCCCTCCCAGGTTCCTGTTGCTGTGAACAGAAGACAAACTCACAGACAACACCAGAGGCTGTCCTCAGCTGACGTCAGTGCTAGTAAGTCTTTGGAAGCTGTTATATCAGGTAGGATTTTGACCTCCTTGGTTATTTCTGCTACAATGCAAGGGTGCATGAGCTAGCTGGCTCACCAGTTGGGAATAAGATAATGCTAAAGCAATACCATTTTGGTTCCAGACAAACTCTATCCATCTCCCTACCATGCCCTGAGAAACAATGGCAAATAATTCTATTACAGTCACAATTCCTTGCAGTTACATTTATCCATTCCAGAGTTATCATCCTCCTCTAGACACGACTTGCCTATCCCTGCACGGAGCTGCACTGTGAAGTGTTGTCCTCCCTTTCCCACTTAGTGAAAGCTGCTATGTCCCCCAGACACACCAACCACCCAGACCTAAAAGCAGCCCTTTCCTTCTTCACTCATGGAAGGAAACAGTATTCTTGTTCCAAAGCTCAGTACTTTCTCACCAAAACAAAGGTTTGCTGTAGGCTTGAAGAGAACAAGATTGTTTCTTTCCACACACCATCACCCTCAATAAATCAGTGAGATGCCTTTCATGTAGTTTTTTTTTCATTGAAACATTTTAAGCCCTTCCTTAAGAGGCAGAGAAGGGCTCTGAGATTTTTTAATACAGGTTTTTGTTTTGGCTTTGTCTCCTGTCTGATTCCCAGACAAGGTGTTACTCATGCATTCTGTCAGAGAAAAGCAGCAACTGCCTGCACCACCATGAAGACCCAATGAGGAGCTGCTCACCCTAAGGGAAGCTTGTATTTCTGCCTCTCACCTTTCCAATGAGATATTTGAATTAGCTGACCTCAAGGTGATGAAAGGTAAATGCTGATAGGTGCAAATCTGTGCTCCTTTCAAGCGGGACACTACTTGTCCTTTTTTATAGGCTCCTCTAGCTGATTGCTAACCAGCTTATGTGAAAAAGCAAGATTCTTCCCCTGTGTATTGTATACAACACAGCACTTTTGCTCTTACAATACTCTGCCAAAAGGAACCCCCTGTGTATAAAACACTCAGGGGATCAACACAGTTTGATAAATCCTCTTGTCTCTTAGCAAGTGGGATGCTTGACCTGGCATATCTAAACTAGTGTTTCCTAAATGGTCTGCTCCAGTGTATCATATCTGACTCTCAAAATTTCTCAGACTGTGATTCACTCACAATGTGATTTTTCAAACTGAACACAATGTCAAGACAAAAGTTATTCTGGCTAAAAAATAATTACCACGCACCTTGTGACTGTTGACACCATTATATGAACTGCACTCTGGGAGCCACTGATCCAGGCCCCAGAATATAACCTTTCCTAGTTAAGAAAATGATAAAATCCTAGTTCCACTGAAAGCAGTAATACAGCTCCCACTTACTTCCCTGAGACCAGAATTTCCCTCCAAGTCTCTTGACGTTCTGTTTTAGAAGAATCTTTTGCCTGTGAAGCAAAAGTAATCTTCATGCAAGGTTACCTTCCAGAGCTTACATGCCAACAGCTTTTGTACATCGACTGTTGCTCACACATTTCCCAAGCAGCATTAGAGCAATATTGCCATGTCACAGGTCACTTTCACAGAAACTATTAAAAATCAAAGCTGGTTAGAACAAAACCCATACTTTCCCACAGGTAATTGTTTTGGAAAAAAGAGAAGAGGGGTACAGATTTGCTTTTTTGCATTATAGGTGAGAGGAAGATTACAACTTTTTCTAGTTGAAAACAGCTACTGTGTCTATAAGAGTTTGACTCCTGCCTTCATTTTCCATTTGAATCCGTTGCTGAAACTAATAGGAGCTGTCTACTCAAGACAGCTAAGGGTTATCATTACAATTGTATTTAATATTAACAAAGGGAAACCTCTGCATTTACTGTTCTAAGTATGTATTATGTTATTTCTTATGTGATATGCTTACCTGGTGGGAAATAAGGGGGTACTGTAGTTTTGTTTGCGTTCTCTTCACACTCTTTCAGTCGTTTCTGCAGGGACGTAATTTGTCGACGAATTGCAAGGACATTGTTTTTGTCCAGTGATTCTAGTTCATTTACCAGTATAGTCAGATTTGTGATCTAGAGAGGAAAAAAACAGAACAAGCTTGATGTCAACTTTATTGTACAGGTATTTGCAGGCAGGGTTGATCACAACACAGAAGGCACTACAGAAAAAGGTTTTAAAAGATATCCTAAGAATAGGCCTTATCCTGCCAACCTCAACTTGACATTTCCAGCAGAGGTATGTGAACACCAGGAAATGCTTTAAGACTAAGTTGTATAACAGAATGCAAAAATATAGTGTTATTTTATACTTAGTAAAAAAATAGCCAGTAAGTCATAGGCAAGTACTAGCTATTAAATATAGAAAGTACTTATTCCAGCCTTACAAAAGTATCTGGAAATTTTATTTGCAAAGATAAATAATGGTTTTAATCACCTACTTGATGATCTAGAGGACAATGGAGAAAGTGATATTTCACTATCCATCTGAAGTAATTATTCTCTCTAGGTGAGTGATTAACTACAGTTTTGAAAATGTGATTTATAGTCAGCTGAGAAGGTGATAGTCTTTCCCACTTCTTGATTTCATATTGATTGGGCCACTGCCCTAGCAACCAGAAGCTGATTTTTTAATTATCTGAATTAAAGCACAGAGGCTTTCAAGCATGGGGGTCTGTAAATTAATATTCATTATAGTAATTTCATCAGCTTGTGTGCTTAACACTACACAACACTGTTAACTTTCGGGCAGATATTCTGCAAAAATGGAGTGGTCTCCGTTTGGTTTTGGGTTTCTTTACTTTTCTGTGCTTATCTTTTCTTATCAAGGAATAAGACTTTAACACATTTAAGGTCAAGTTTTCTTTTCATTTATGTTGATGAAATGCTAAAATAATTCCACCGGCTGCAGTACAGACAGGCTACATTTCCTCAACCTAAACACTAAAGAGAGAATAGACTAACTGTATATTTGAACCCTCTGTGGCTAATTAAGTCTTTGACAATACCTCCAAATATATTTGCTCAATGATGACATTGCTTCCAACAAGGCTGGGTTTCAGCTGAGTGACCAGTTTCTCTAGTTCACTGATTTCCACTTTCAGTAACTGGAAGTCCAGTTCTGTGTAGGATATACTGCCCTCCTCCATATGCTGCACTCTGATGGTTAGATTAAGAATTTGCTGCTGATACAGTTCAATCCTTTTTGAGTACTCTCTAACCTTAAAGAAAGAAAAAAGAGATACATATTTAAGTCCAGGTTAGCAAATAAGACAAGCCCGTTTGACATCTTTATTATATTTCTGAGTGCCCTATGCATAGCTTTCACATACTTGACATATATATTCTTCGCATAAACTACGTAAATGAAATTCTCATCACATACATAAAAAATGTGAAATTTAACCCTCACTTATTGTTGGCAGTTTCACAAAATCCCCTCAGGAATGCCTGGGGATAACTGAAGGCAGAATATTATTCACAGTCTTCCATTTTTTTAATTCTTTGCCAATATTGTCTCTGTAAGCTAATTTTATCCTCAGTATGCCAAGAACTTCTGTTGGTGAAAATTTTATTAGGAAATATGCAGTGTATTATCTCTCAAAAGCAACCAGAGGAGGCTGGAAAATGCCACAAAGGATTCCCAAGCTTTTCAGCTTCATTTCCTATTAACTCTGAATCCAAATAGGACATTACCCTGTGTACATTCGAATTGTGTCAAACATTGGCAATACTGGTTTGATGTTTGTCTTTAGACAGGGGGAAAATGTTTGAACACAGTGTTAAAAATCAAATCTCGTTTAAGCGAAAGTGTAAAATGTATTGTGGGCTTTAGCTGAAGTAATTTATATAGCAGCCTTTTCAGTCTTTGAACCATTAAGCAGTTGTCCAGATAAATATATTTTCACACATATTTGCGAAGGTAAAGGTCACAGCACAAGCATTGTGATGCAGAATGTTAAGAATATGATATGGATTTGAGGCTTCCCTTAGAAATGTTAGTTCCTCAAAATTTCACACTTTGGTAAAGAGACATAATTTCTCTCCCATATGCTTCATAAAAGTCATGTCTCTTTTCCCTTAAATCAATATCATTATATCACAAAAAATAAGAAGCATAAATATAATTAGTTTGTTGCACTAGTAACTCCGTATTTATACTCTGAGATGGTATGTGTGCCTCTCTCTAGAGCGCTGTTGTTTCCATAACTATTATTTCTTCAGCTGAAAGATTTTCTTCCCAAGTATTTTCACATTATCTTAATATTAAATGGTATGGCCAGTCTTCACGAACGAAGATTTGGGAAAGGTCATTACCCTTCGAGCCTGCGCAGTGGATTTTTTAGGTGAGACACAGTGTGCGCTGAACTGAGCCCACCCTTTAATCATAAGGTTCAACTGCTGGGGCCAAGTGAAGCTCGGACGCTGGCAGTGAGGTCCTCGGGACATAGGTTTGTTTAGAGTGACCTTCTCTTAGATGGATGGCCTTAGAGGGCTGACAAGCTCCATCTGCCCGGAGGGGTTCCCTGACCGGGAATCAAACCCAGGCCGCAGCGGTGAAGCGCCGCATCCTAACCACTAGACCACCAGGGGGCCCCTAATATTAAATAAAAGTCAGTATTTTTCCCTATTGTCTCTGAAATGTCATCAAAGATTCTGTCATGGTGTAAAGACCATGAATCCTCCCTTTTTCTGTTCTGGCACCAGCCCTTGAGATTGGGACCCCAAAAAAAACCATATTTATCAAATAATTCCTTTCAATTTTGATTTGATCCCTTGTGTACCAAAGAGGAGGTATGGGAGCTCATGGCATGGAAATTCGTGAAGGGCAGAAAGGATCCATTAAGTCCATAAGTTATTTAGTGATGTGAATTAAGGAGAAGAAGTGTAAGAGTAGATCCTCTTTTCAAAAGTATAATTTTCAGTAGTGGCACAACTACATTATAAATCTTAAAGAACCCACTACAAAACCTCTGCATGCACATATATAGTATACACCAAAACCAGGTTGCTTAGTTCCATATATTTAAATCAGAGTTTGAAACAGGTCTTCTGTTCTAAAGAAGCAGCCGGACTTTGAGCTGCTCAAAACTGTCTCCACAAGCTGTAGCACCCTGACTAATATCACTGGATGTTCTAGATCTCCCAGGTCAAGCCAGGGTAACTTCAAGCTATTTATTGCAATTAAGAATAAAAAATAATAGCCTACCAAGACTTAGACCTAGTTCCTTGTAACTGGCTGGCAACAGTGCCAAGAACTGGGATCCTTTTTCCTAGCTGTCACCATCATCTGTTTGGTAGGGAACAGTAAGAAGAACCAAACAATGCTCTTGGAAAAACCAGAGGTAGTTGGACCTCACACTTTCAATGATCACCAAAATCAGTTTGGAGTTGAAAGAGATTTTCAAAAAAAACTTTTCAAATGTCAGTGTGTGTCTAGAGTTTGCACAACAACAAAAAAGAAAGAATATATTAGTGCAGCCCGAGAAATATAAAGCAAGCCCATGTTTGAACAAAATGGCAGTGCTGTGTGAAGCGATGTATAACATAGAGGTGAAGCTATGTGTATCATAGAGGTATTAGGAAACCTCTCTAGGTATTAATAACATTTCTCACAGTAATACTGGTAATAATAATGCGATACGAATCCACAAACCACTGAAATAAACAGGCTGCTGGAATTAGTATTGGCTATTCATTAGTGAGAAACTTATGAATGTGAAGTTTTCTCCAGGGTCCTCAGAGCCTGGACAAAATGCTGAGGGCTGGAACAAGGCATACATCGTTATTTCAGCACTGATTGCAGAATGCTGCAGGACACAGACCTGAAGTTCTCCTCCCATATTAGCAGATTTTCACTCAGTCAACCATCTAGGTCATTTAAGGACATGTCAACACCATCCAGCAGAGTACAGCTGAGCCTGAACTAGCACCATCACTCTGCAGGGCCACACCAGCATCACAATGAACTTAAGCTAATATCTCCCCTGGTGAATTATTGGACAAATAAAATTTTCTCAGCAGTACTGCTCTAACAGGTCTATACTGCTTTTTCAGACAAATCCAGTACATATGTCAAGCATAGCAATGCCCTGCGTGTAAATCACCACCTGCTCCGATCTGGTTTAGGAGTTTCCATATTTTAGAAATATCATTTGAAAAAAGAATATGATTTTGCTCTTTTATTGGCAGATAGAGTTAAGCAGCTTGTAATCCCTGCTCTTCTACTGCATCTCCCTGCTAGGGACTGGCTATTGTCTCTTGACAGGCTGGCACAGAAATTTTGTGTGTATCTTATATTTAAGAATACAGACCAATAACTAGTACTGATTGCAGTCACATTTATCATAAAGCCTAAAGTAGGGTATGATGAGTGCATGGGGCCTGTGTTAGCCTTGTATAGGAAGGGAATGGAGTCATGTGAGGTATATATAGGGGAAAAAAATCCTCAGTTTCAGTTTTTTCCTCCTTTCCAAGGATTGTCACCTTCATGTAATGAAAAGGGCAGGAAAAATCTGCAATGCTCATTTACTGTGTCATTTATCTGCAATTGGTATTTATCAAAACAGGTTTTGCAGCATGCAAAAAGACACTTCTCCAGTATGCATTTGAAGAGTACAGAAGGGGGAACAAAGGTGCAGGATGAAGATGTAAAAGACAAAATGTGGGAGGACTGAGAGAAGATAAGAAAGAAATGACAAAACCAGCAACTTTATGAAATCACTCAGCCCAGGACACTAGCTTTGGGCAGGCTTGCACTCTGTAGGTCCATAAGGAGCAAGGCTGGCAGTCTGCCTCCTGAGACAGAGAAGAATTCCATTACAGGTTAACCGGTTTTGCAAAGCAGAGGGCAAGCATGCTTTTGCCTCCTGTTTTGGTTATGTGAGGATGTTGTGGCCATTGTGAGCCATATTCTGAAAGGCATTTTGTCTCCTTGTGACCATGTGCTGATCCATCCCTGTTATGGAAGTGTCCTTTCCCCTTTTCTATTGAGAGCAGCAGCCAATTACTGCTTTGCTTTAAAAGGTTAATTTTCTTCTGTAATCATAATTATGCTGGCAAAGGTTGATGTGACAGAGGAAAAATTAGTCTGGTATTTTCAGCCTATGGTTTGTACTCACTTGGCACATGAGAGCATCTCTTTATCTGCAAGCTTCCTTGCCTGCTGATTCTATAAAAGGACCCCCTTGCTTTTTGAATTAACCAACAATCAGGCAAAAGGTTAATGAGTCAATCAGGTTGTTTTTCTGGGACTTCTAGTGCATGGAAAGCATCCTTAAGAGGGTCCAATCCTGCAGCTCTTACCCAGGAAAAGTTTCCATGAGCTTCAAAGGGTGTTTCAGAAGAGCAACTAAAACATGGATTCTGAGAGTCAGAAAAGGAACCATTCAGTAGAAATTCACACTGTTGTGGTGAGACTGGGTTATGTCTGAATGAAATTCCCTAGGAATTTGCTCTGGATCATTTCTAATAGTGATCAATATTGAATGCTTGGCTTTCCTCCATTTCATTATTTCCTTCTCTCTATGAGTATTGTCATGACTAAAGTAATATGCAGAATTGCATAAGGAGGATTCTTTCCACATGGAAAACATGAAGAATTTTTGAGCATGGGGATGCATCACAAGATCTCAGAGTACTTAAGTTCAGTTCTCAATAGGGCCATGCTCAACAGCTCTCTTTTTCCTACAAAAAAATCCACAACATTATAACTGAGAAATCTTGCACGCATAAAGTTACACCAAAACGCAATCTGTTCATTTTAATTTCTGACCCAAAGTGTCTCTTTGCCCATATCACACCGAAGTATACGTCACACTTCAACTTGATGCATTGTAACACTGCTTGGCGGATTGGTCTCGACAGGATGAGATTCAGTGAAGCCTGAGTACAGTCAAGAATTTTCACTGTCTGCAGTGAGGACTGAAAGTCGAGGTCAGTGTCTACACTGTGGTACACTGCTGGGCACCGAAGGATGACAACACAGTTGTCACCAGCTGACACCAGCAGGCAACCTAGACATTAATGTATAGGGTAGGGATTCAGCTTGCCGTGAATTTAGAGGTGAGTTTCAGGTACAAATCCATACACCTAATTTTAGGTATCTATAGCAACCTATGTTTATGTATAAGCATGATGTCTGAATTCAAAGGATATCTGAGACTGTCCACATGGAGAGGTCAAGCAGCACTTGAGATGCTCTGCATACCTGTATGGCACTCAGATAAAGGAAGCATGCACCATTCTGAGGAAAGTACTGGTAAGAGATTGGTCATGCCAGGACAAGTGACTGGGAAAGGTGGTATACAAGCACCTTGACGAATCATGCCAATTTTTTGGCTGGGAATCATGCCCCTGATCCTGTTCCAAAGCAGTTAGCTTCAAATGACTACAGTGGGAACTGTATGGGGATCTGAAATCTCAGTGATTTTCATGGCTCATTAACTCTGAGCTACACCTCCATGCTGCAAGGGATCAGGTAATTCCTGTGCTTGGAGGCAGTGGGACTTCTGTCAACTTGTCCTTCATATGCCTGCTGACAGCTGAATGTTTTACACTGTTAGCTCCAGTTCTTTCAAAACACACAGTTTGAACTGAAAGATCTTACCACAGGATCCCATGCCTGTTGTTGTGTTTTTTATGCATAACTTCTTATCTGTTCTTGATTATACCAGAGGAGGGTTATGAATATTAATGATTAGAATTTATAATTTAATGCTTTGCCTTTTCTGCTGATTAATTCAAGGACACTTCATTTCTTAAGATGCTTGGTTTCTGAAGAAAACACTTTCTGCTGGGCACCTAATCTGAATCCTGAATATTTATTCACTATAAAAAATAAAAGGCAGAGTTCTGTCTTCACATGCAGTTCACCCAGTGCACTCCAGCATGTGTAGGTTTGCCTGAGTTCCTCAAAAAAATGGATCTCAATTCATGAAACAAGCAGCCAAAGCAGTGTAAGGTATGTTTGTCTTCAACAGAAATGCATAATTCAGCAGTCTCACTGTGACAGCTTCAGATGTTGACAAGGAAGATATTTGATTTTTTTTATTTTTTTTATTTTTTTATCTGTGAGAGCAGAATCAGCGAAGGGGCAAATATTCACCTACTTCTTCACTCTGGCCTGTGGTGACCTTTCTCCTCTTTCCCTTCATTACCTTCCTACAATCTGGCTGGCTTGATATAAATAATAACACATGAAAGAGCAGGAGGCTTGGCTTCCTATAGCATCATGTAGCAATCACAAACTAAAAAAACTGAGCCAAAAGAGGAAAAACATAATCATTCTTCCAAAAAATACCATATGTCTCTAGCTGCAAAGGCCTAGAAAAGAGACAGGAGGATATTCAAATGTATGACATGCTACAATGTCAAAGATTAGAGATTTAATCACCTTTCTCCTTGTTCTTACAGAGCCCAGTTTCCCATGGTTTGAAAGACACACCACAGAAAAGTGCTGACTGCTGTACTTTTTCACAGGCAACCATTTTTCAGGAAAGATGCAACTGTTATTTTTAAGAGAAAAGAACACCTTACTTTAGAAAGCTCTGCCTCAAATTTCTTCGAGAGTGTTGTGGCTATAATTTCCAGTTGCTCAACCTTCTGCACTGGAAAGGTGGTATCCGGCAGGTACACAGAGCATTGGCAAGTTCCCTCATCATCCACAGAGCCGGATACATTGGCAAAGAGCTGCAATAACAAATTGGTAAGAAAAAAAGTGTTAATATTCTTCTCTACAATTAGTACCTAATAATGTCTGGCACTAATATGAGTTGCGACAATCATGAGATCAATAACTTCATTACTAGCCAGTTTTCACCTTTTTCTTCCAAAGAACTCAAAATATCTAGCAATTTTTATGACTCAGCATTACAAATCTCTCTGAAAATAATCAAATACTACTGTAAAGATTTTACCATTAGAAAAACAGAGGCCTATAATAGTCCTGACTTTCCCAATCTTATGGACAATGTTCCTAACATAATGAAATAACTTTTCCAGCAGATAGAAAAGTGGGCAACAGCAGGAAAATAGTAACTTAGTAATTTATGTCTTATATTTACTATTCTGTTAATCTAAATTGATCAAATCATCTAGTCATTTCCATCCATAGAGATGAAAGCACTGAAGTAGAACTAGTAACAGGGAAAGTTTTGAAAAGAAAAATCTTTCATTTGAAGTTTCTCAGCCAGCCACAGCAAACAGACATATATTTAATTATGCACCACTGAAAGGTGATGAATTAAATATGCAGGTTTGGCCTAAGGTTGAGGTTCTTATTTTCCTACAAAACACTGCTCGTAACACCCACACATCACAACCCACCCATCCATTTTTGTGAATAGCTGGCAAAGCTATTGACCGTGCCATTAGCATGAATTGCCTTGTCCCAGTTGTCTGCATGCTCAAAGCATCATCACTGGAGCAATGTGTATGAGGTATGAAAAGGTCAAGGCTGGCAATTCATGATCTTGCCATAATTTACAGTCAAAGCACACTATATTCTATAAATACTGGGCTGAATACTGAGTATGTTTGGAGCAGTTCTTTTTTGTTTGCTCGCAAAATGTTTCCCAATTCATAAACCTATCACAAATTTCTTAATAAAGATATTCGATGTTACTTTAAAATATTCTAGCACACACTTCAATGCAGCTGCATATTTTAAAGCTACAGACTTACTCTTTAAACATGCTTCATTCTATAATCTCTCCTCCTGCCTTGCAGAAATACTAGTGTTATTCATGTGTTTTCTCTTTTTCTCTCCCTCTTAAATATGTAAACAACAAAACTATGTCCTGAAAGCTGACATTTCAGCACTTCTTCTCTTGCTTTTTCACAGTGATTTCAACTAACATCCTCACCAACAAACCAGTGCAGAACACACAGTGATGGCCAGCAGCAAAGCTGTCTTGATCTTTGAGCCCAAAAAGAGAACAGCAGCAAGCAGGAATGATCACAGTTCACACTTCTGGCAACCTCTTTACTGCAGTCACAACAAACAACATGCATCTCATTTTGAAAGAAAGCGTGAAAAGTCATTTTATCTGTGTTGTTCAAGCACCACAGGTCTTAAAATTTCACTCATAGACAGACTGCAGAAGACATTTAACATGAAAAGAAGCATTCCAGAATGTCCCAGCACATAACTTCCACTGATTTCCCTGCCAGGTAGGTTACCAAAGCATTTCTGAAAATCCCACTGAGAACACACTACATATTATGTCTAAGTTTCCAAGTATTTTCGAAGATGTGGCTACAAGTACGAAAAATATGAAAATATGAAAAATAAGTTCCTAAGTCAGACATTTCTGCATCTCTGAGTCCTCTGTGTATGGGCATGATTGGGATGGCAAGTTGCTCAGCAATAACAAAAGAAACGGGGGGGAACCAAAAGAAGAAATAAATGTGGCTTAGTGAGTACATGGGACCTTCTTTTAGAGTGTTGCACACTGGCATGCTAATTTTTATATGGAAGGTACTGTATTCTGTTCCTTCTGTGTGCATATGTCTACAAGAGAGAGTGTACTATACATAGTATAGCACAGTGTGTGCTACACCTTTGTATACATTGTACACTCTGCTATAAACTACAGTCTTTACTGCATATAGCAGTAAGTTTTCTAGATTTATCCTGCTTATTTCATGTGCTAAAAAAAATTCATAAATGTATTCAGATGATCTCCCGAAAAAACTCCAACTCATGTTTTTAACCTCCCTATGAAAAACAATCATTATCTTTTGACGTTTGTGTTAGGAGGGAGCCTTGAGTTGAAGGCAGAGCTTCACTGCAGTAAGTGCAGCTTATATCTAAGTCAAGAGACAGTTCTTCCAAAAGAGTAAACCTGAGCAGACAGAACTGCTTCCATTCTTCCATTGACATTACAGACACCGGGATCATGATGCTGACAAGACCAAGAGGCACATTTAGTTAAAAGCCCCTTCGGTCAGTAACTGCTTCAATCAAAATATAATACCAGTCAAATGGCAATCGTAACAAAAATGTCTTCCTTTATCCTGTAGAAAAATGCGTGAGAAAGTGTGCTACTTTTGATGGAGTTGTATGTTTTTTAAAGTTTAATAATTTATACAGAATGCTTAAAAGAGAGTGAACTGTCCTAGCCTACAGCAAGGACTTGACGGCAACTTTCACCCTGTAAAATTAAGCTGTTAGATATACATATTTGAAGCTATGAGAAATGTTCCTTCTCCACATCCCTTCAAATTAAGAAAGGGAGTAGGAGCCAGCAGTTACTCAATTTTCTGAAAACCAGGAAATTTGTCACTGTATCCTAGTGACATTCACAATTCTGAATCAGCTGTTTGCTCATCCTAAGACAGAGAATGGGATCCACAGAAACCACATGACAGGTACAGAGACCATGGCGGGGACAGAAGCCACCTCAGCTGGGCAAGGAGATGGATAAGATTTGGGTCCTGCTAGTCGGACTCAGAGAGAGAGACCCCTGACTCCATTTAACTTTCTAAATGTTCTATGGGAGTCAGAGACTTAACTCTGTTTCAGAAGAGGTCCCTCCACATATCCCAGGTGCCACACTTGGCTAGCCTAGACAAGAAAGATCTGCTGTCAAGCTGTCTACCATCTCCAACCTAATCTGGAGCTGTTCTTTGAACGAACTCTGTTTATGACACTAGCTTGCAGGACCATTCAGAGCAAGTGTAACCCATTGAATCTGTCCCAAGGCAAACATATTATTAAACAGTCACTGACAGAGAGAGGGAAAGAAACCAAACATTGAAATCTGCAGGCCGTGGACTTAAGCACTGTACGAGAAGGCACAGAAATCAGACTTGGGTCCCTCTATCAGCAAATAGCTGATAATATATTAGTGAAGTAGAACAGTGAGAATCGAGATTTTCTGAATCCCAGCAACCAGAAATGGGTACTCCTCAGCAAATAGTTTCAAGGCCCTGTTCTAGTTTATGAAAGAAGACTTCCTCCAGGGAGACTAATCACCAAATTGTTTGGCACATTGCCATCAAATCCCCAGGGCCCCATCTGCTTCGTGTCTGGGGTCCAGTTCAGTAGTTACAAGGTTAACGCCAAAGCTTTGGATGTGACTTAAGGCATTGGATGCCACGGTAGCAGTAGCGAAGATTTTAGAAATTCACTACTTCCTAAAATACTGGATACACAACATATAAATGCTTTTCCCAGACAGACTAACTGGCTTATATGTATCAGGGTTAAGCCTCTGAGTGACTGTGTAGCCTTTAAAGAATGGGACAGAAGTTCCTAAATTTGTTCTTTTCTGGACTTTGTTGAAGCATAGTAGTGGTTATACCTTTGGCGGAGCGTGCAGTGTGCCATTCGTATTCCTAGGCTGAGTCAGGTATGGAAGCACTGTATAGAGATGAGTGGTCTGAAAAGAAAAGGAAAGATTTTTTTCAGTATGATTTCCTGCATATGGCACCATCCCTTCCCCACCAGTTAGGCCCCATCCTGCCGCTCCAAAGCACTTTGTTTTATTATGGGAGCCATCCCCAGCAACTGTAAAATTAATTGGCTTTTCTGATCTGCTGCTGAGGCAAAGGTTTCCCTGGGCAGAGTGTCACTTCACATACACCTCTTCTTGAAGAAAAGCTCTGTGTGACCAGTGCAAGGCAGGGGACACTCAGCCGGTCCAGGAGGTGGGAGCTGGGGCTCTGAGCCCTGGCAGATTGTATGGCAGTCTAAAAAGATAGTACCATGCCCCTCTGCCATAAATCCAGAGAATATTGTCCTCCCAGCAGGGATGTCTGCACCTCACTACCCAGCTCATGCTCCAGCCTCTCAGCACAGGACTCACTGCACCTTTCACACCAAGTTGTCAGGGTGTGAGCTGTGATTGCTGGGGAACGTGTCCCTCTCTGCTACTAGCACCATGGAGGTGACAGCATCCCACTGTGGGGAGGGAGTGCTGGGAAAAGACACCACACTGCCAAGGATACAGCCAGGTCCACCTTGGGAACCTTTTAGGTAGTAAGACTATATACATCTACTTTAACTTTCATCTGTGGCAGATGTCTGCCTTCCTGCCACAGCAAGGAGAGCAGCTGTCACCCGTACTGTGGGTTAGCTCATCCTCACACAGTGTGCAGAGCACAGTGCATTGCCGTGGTGCAGCACACTGTCAACCGTAACAGGGTCTTCCCAAAATCTCTGGCAGACTGGAAACTGGAGCAAGACACCCTCAATGTCAAATGGTGTCACAGACAGAGCACCAAATGGGCTTCCCTTGCAACAGGACACTCTCTGCTGGGTCTTTCTGCATTTCCCAAATCCCAGCTGGAACCATATTCCTGAGCCAGGGAATGGTGGAGAAATCCAAATGGCCAGCAAAGGGCAGGTCTATTGAGTGGCACAGTGTAAACAAGCTTTGTGGGACAGTTTGTCAAATAAACCCACTTGAACAGTCATTTGTGTGCTTCCATGATTACACTGTACACAACAGGGGGCAGCTAGTAGCAATTAAGAGTGTTTGGGCAGAGGAGCATCACAAATTGTGTAAATTACACAAACTGAGGACTAGCTTAAAGTTAAGCAGACTGAGGAGGAATTTCTTCCCTACGAAGCTTTCTGTCCTCAGCTTATCACCATATATTTACACCTCCATCTTGACTTTTGCAACTCTTCATTCCTGGAGTTGATAAAAACACCTTCCCAGGAGATGCTGACTTCACTGCCTGCATCCACAGCACTCTCAAACTTCAAAAAATATAACTAGGGGCACACAGGAATTTTCTGGTTGGTGACTAAACCAGATAAATCAGAAAGAGTCATAGGGAGCCAAAATGGTTTTCCTCCAATTTTAACTAATAAATACCAAAAGGCAGTTATTTTGGGTCAAAAAAACCCAAAATGCTTTGCTTCATTTGAAAGACCTTTTAAACTATTCACAAACATTTTTTTTTAATAATTGAAGCCCAGTTTTAAATTTAAAAAAAAAAAAAAAGACAGTACAAAATCAAAATTATCTTTCACTACTGTAATTTTTTTCTTTAAAAAAACATTTTTCAAAGTTTCCTCTTCTACCTCCCTCCCTGAATTTGATGTTGCCTTTGGTTTGGAGTTGTCATGGTATTTTTTCTGATTGATTTGATCTGCTTTGAACTTCTCTCTTGCCCAACCAGATACAGTATTTTGAGGAAGAGGGAGAGCACACGACAAAAACCACGCAACATGGCTTTCATTTGCCTGTCTCAGAGCATGACAGCAATCATGCAACTGGGAAAGCTCCCACCTCCCAACTCCTTCCACATCAAAGATGTGGATCTATTCCTGCTATAAGCCCTTGCTAATTAATTAGAAGCTACACAGAGCATTTAATATCCGACTTGGATCCTCACTGGGAGTTGCACTCATCTAACCAAAGGCAGAATTTGACTCTGACTTTAAACCTGTGTCTCGCTTTTACGTTTATTACCCAGTCCCTATATATTAGTTGGGGGGGAGGATGAAGAAATACTTTAAACTTTCTCCATTCTTAAAATGATGCAGAGATCTCATAATTTTCCAGCAACCTTGAAAGAATTTTCAGCAACCTACATAAGAATACAAGAAGGCACCAAAGTTCAGGTTATGAGAGCCCCATCTTACCGCTTCAGTTGCTGTCGTTGTTCCAGCCAGAGCACTCACACTTTGCATGAGGAGCAGCACAGCCACCTGTGTGCACTTCATCTTCTCAGCCAGCAGATGTGACAGCAAAGGGAGAAAGGATTTGTTTTATAGTAGAGTCTGGGGATTTCCCCAACCAAACCTTAAGGAACTTGCATGATATTTTTTTAGTTTTTGGATAAGTAAATGATGTCATAAACTCATATAATAACAGGTGCCAAATTACTAACGTACAAAGAACACAAGTTACCATCATAAATTAGTTACGTCCAATTTTCTAACAGGATACCTTTCCCATACAGTACACTGTCTGATTTTAATCTTGGTTATGCAGAACATCAGATGCTTATTTGCTATGACAGGTAGACAGATATTTCCCTTACAGTGACTCAATCATAAAAATTCTTATAGATTCCTTCAAAGTTATGTAGACAATACAGGTCTTGGTGGTATTTATTACTTATTATATGTACAGAGAAGAGCAGGTCAGGTTAGACTGTTCACACAGCAGAACCATGTTCCCTTTTTTCCAAAGGCCAACAGACCTTTGCCAATAAGTAAAATACACAAGGGTCTCTACAGGTTTCCAGTTCCCTTTATTCTCACATAGCACAGGTGAGACACAGACTATCTCCCATTTCCGTCTCAGCAGTCATATACATCATATATTAACACTATGTACCCATTAATGTTTGCTCATGTATTAACACCGTGTACCCATCAATGCTTACTTAGCTGCACTCTTTTCATGGAGCTATGTGCCACCTGATCACAATGAGTCGCTGTCCTGTCTCTAGAGCACTGAATCAGAGAGATGAAAAAAGGCCACACAGAATTAGTGTGGTCCCCACATTCCCCAGCTGTGCTGCACTGCTGTACGACAAGCAGTGAGCTGCCTGCAGTTCCCAAGGCACCCAACCCACCATGGAAACTCCTCACTTCCAACAAGCTACTACCTTGGTAGGGTCAGCTGCAAGCCTCCATCTGGTGCAAAAGAAATTAAAGTTTCTCAGGTTCTGTGCATCACTGGGAAAATGAGCTTGGTGTTTGGAAGGAAGGTTCTAGTCAGGACTAAGGGAATAGCCATGTTTGTGCACTTGTAAAAGTCAAGAAGTCCCTAGACCAAAACATGACCATGACCAAAATAGCATTTTCCTTTTCCTTCTTCATTTTGTCAGACTGAGTTCTTCTACTAGGTCAGCAACAAAAGGCTATAGTTGTGTCTAGGTGAAGAAAGTGATTAGGAGACCCTTATTCCCTTTCAATGTTGGTGGGCAGAGGTAAAGGCAGGAGCAGCAGTATTTCTGAGTAGCAGTGCTACCTCATATGAAACTCAGCTCCCTGGTAAGGAACTCTTAAGACTTTCTTGTGTTACCACAGCACTATCAGCTCCAGGTGGAAATGAAAAAGCTGAGGCTTAGGGTAAATCCATACTAGAAAACTCTTCAGAGGAGTCAAGTCCATTGGAGTAACACGTTTTTACCACAGCTTTGCATAAGCATAAGCCTCCTGGCAGACTCACAAGGTTGGAAGAAGCATCTTGCAGGGTAAGGATATAATAAGTTCTTGCAAAAACATTTTTTCACAGCAGAAGCTGCATCTCTACTGGAGGATTTCATGGCTAATAATTCAATGTAAGATAGACAAGACCTGGAAGGCATGTGATAATGTAAAAGCAAAAAGAAACAGAGCCATACTGGTAGAGCAAGAAAATTAATCCAAGCTTCTTCCTCCCAGGTTACAGTGATCTGCTTTCCTGGGGTAAATCACAGTGCTGTCCAGGGAATGGAGAAACCAAAACTGTAAGTACAGTCAGGACTCAAGCCCTGAGCTCCAGAGCAAGACAGAGTGGTTCATGTCAGAGCAGCTGTAGGCTATGAAATATCCTTTGCACCATGGGAAAAACACTTCAGCCACAACAGAGCAGATTTCAGGTACAAACCGGCACATACATGTTGCAGACAACCAGTAAGCCTATGCTGCCCACCAAGTTAACTCCTAGTTTACTCTCAGGTTGTGATATCCTGATATTGCATAATTGCCACTTTCTTCCCAGACTGTTTTGTGAAACGAACCAGCTAATCTCCATACAAAACTGAGAGAAGTTCTGGAAACAGATCAATTCCAGAAGGTGTCATGGATGAGGTTTTGTTCCTTATCAACCTTGCCTCATCCTAACCAGTCCTCCAACTCCTAACATAAGCCCTTCTGTGGAAATACCACTCTATGGGCTTCAAGCCATGCTTCAGGTTATTTCTGGTGCTCCAAACAAAATGAAAAGAAAAAAACCAAACCAAACAAAACTATACAAACTCACACAAAAAAGTAATGGTTGCATCCTAGCACCAAAGGTCCAAGAAGACACCTATAATGACAAGTGTTTCATCATGTGGATACAAGAGAAATCACCCAGCTTGATGCAAAGGAACATGCTCTGTGCAGCATACAAACATGCTGCTTTTCCTGAGGACCAAGCATCATTCCCAGGGGTGAATGCATTGAACATCTAGACATGTGAAGACTCCAGATGAGTAGCACACTCCATGCTCCATCCATGCAAAAACTCCTTGGCAGCCTATAAACTGCCTGAAGGCAGCTGGCTATGGCACTTACAAACCCACTGGCCTTGCTAGGGCACCAGGAATCCTGTTGCCTACAGGGAGGGAAACCTTGCAGCACACATGGTCACACTCACAGGCTCCACTGTGTAGCAAGCAAGTGAAGTTTTGTAGGCAGCTTTGTTCTCTCAGGAAAGACAGCCTGTGAGTTTCCAGCCTGATATCTGATCAGGAGAAAAACCTGTTCTCTGTTCCTTCTAGAGGCTGGTGCTGCAAATCACCCACAAAGCACAACAATTTCTCAATGTTTTTTCTTTTATGCTTAAAAGGCAGTTCCGAGATAGGAAGCAAATATTGGCTAAGTAATAATAGTTAATCGGTTGCTCTGGTATTTTCTCCAGGATGTGTGTTTTCACATGACCTCACAGAGACAATGGGGACCTACATTTTTATTCCTAATCAAACTATAATTAATGCTAAATAAAAATACCTTCTCTTGATCTATGTAGAGCTCTTCATCTGAAAAAATAACTTAGACTCATTGTCTACATTTTAGAGGAGAGAAACTATTTCTATGTCATACAGGAAAGTTGCACTTATTTAGCAATTTCCACTTGGGAAAACAGGAAAATACAAGAATTTTCTCTTTGTAGAGCTGCACCCACATCAGTACTTCCTTGTTGTGCAACAGTCATAGTGGGCAATCCAGGGCAATCCCTTCTTTTACAACAGACCTTCTCTTTGATTTCAGTGGGAAATGTCTGTGCAAAAAACCACAGCTTAGGTCCCTCAGACACCTGTTCAAGAGATCCCTTCTCAAATCCGGTCTAATTTAATCACTGCTTTTATTACAGCAGAGATTATTGTGATTGTTATTTAACAGAGAGGTAGATGATTCATTTGTCCTCTAAAGCCAATGGCTCGATCCAAAGTCACCGGAGTTAAATATTATTTGAACATGCTTGGTGGTGTGAACATAACCTTCTACATCTCAGTTTCCCATCAACATTTGGAAAAGATAGTATTTCCCTGCCTCAGAGCCATGTTTTGCAATTAGATGCATTAACAAGAATAAGAGCCATTCAGCTATTACAGAACAGGGACCACATTAAACATGCAAAAATACAGGCAAAAAAAAGTACATAACTTGTCTCAGTTTAGTAGGCCAATAATAGGATTAATTGAATGTAGGTTATGTATCTTGCTTCTATCTATCAAGTAATCATCAATAAATACATTTATCCTAGTTGATGTGGCAATTTCAAATTCTCTCTGAATTGTTCACTACATTCCCAAGACAGGTATAAAGAATAAAAATAAGTAGATTCAAAGAGGGGTACAGCACCTAATGGTGCTAACTTGACAGAATGGCTCAGACAGAAAGTACTGCACTGCATGTTGCATTTTGCAAGTCTAATGTGAAAGCATTTCTACTCTTTGCCTGCAGACACGATAAGACTCCGAGCCTCATGGAATCAGCATTTCAGTGCATGTCGTCCAGTACCCTCTATACTGTGGATTTAGCAAAGCTTGCCTAAAGCTTGTTAAATCCCCCCTCCCACCAAACTGTGTATTTCTGAAGTAAAGCCAAAAAGATGGAGAAAATATTAATTCAAATTCATCTTGTGACACAAGAACAAAACAGCTAATATTCCTTTTTATTTTCTGAAGGTGTTTCTGAAACTAAAGAGTCTGGGCTTCTTTGATTATAGGACCATCCTGTAGTGAAACAAGGAGGTGGTCAGTTTTCTTTGGTAAGGTGCTCTGTAACAACTGACATCATTATATCTATCTATTTCATGATATCTATGTTCGACATAGACCTGTTCTGCTCTGTTAATCCCTTTACATATTGCTTGCACTTTTTCCCTCTTCAAGAGATTCACATTCTTATGCAACATATTTTGGTGTCATCTATCATAAAGCCCATCTATTTGGAAGACGTTATGCAAATACTTTCATTTAATCCCTTTATCAGTAGAATGTCAGGTTAGTGTTTTAAAAAATATCCCTCTGGGCCATGTTCAAAATAAGAAAGTGTATGGGAAATATTAACCTCTAGTTTCAAAAATTATGTTAGTAAGGGTGAGCCTCAATTTTCTGAGACTGTAGGAAAGGAGCATCTTCCTGGAGCAGAATTAGAGACTGAGTATATTTTGCAGAGAGGGTGAAATTTCCTTTACACCTTTAAAAACACCACTGACACAAACCGAGCTGACTGAGACTCAAAAATGAAAGGAAAAAAATTATTGTAATGTCAAAAAAGAAAGATCTTCACTAAGAAAGACATAAGACCAAGATAACAGCTGGTGAGGTACACACCAGACAGAAGCATGAGAAATTATTAGCCACCAACTCTGGTTCAGCAGAAGAGCCTGTTACCCTGAAACAAAGCAATCTAGAGACTCTTGGATAAATTAATTATGTCTAACCACAATCCGCCTGTGAGCTCAAAGCCAAAAGTTATCAAGGAAATACAGTGCTGGTCTGTAAGAAAGGAAGGACAAC